GGAGGCAGACCCGTGCACAGGCACTCATCACACACCCAGCGGGCACCTGATGGCAGAGTGGGCCCACCACCCAAGGGGAGTGTGGCTGCCGAGGGCTTCTGATGGTAGCTGGCCTTGTTTCACTTAATCCCTGTGGCCACCCTATGGGGAGGGACCGTGAGCAGGGTTGTGAGAACGCTTGAGCCCCCGGGTGGGGGACGAGGTGGGAAGGGTGCGCCACACCGAGAGGTGACAGTGCTCGTAGCTGCCGTGCCCATGATGGGGCTGGAGAAGGGCTCTGAGCAGAGGCCGACCCATGACTTCCAGCCTGAGCCTGACCCCTCCTCTGCAACAGACCTGCGCCTCCTCAACATGCCAGGCCTGGCCCAGCCCTTCCCTTCTGTGGGGTACGTAGGAAGAAGAGAGGTGCCACTTCTGTCTTCCCTCCACACCAGAGCACAGTCCAGCCCAGCCTGGCCCCTTCCAGCTCCTCCCCAAAGCACATGCTTCATCCTGTCTGTTCCAATTTTTGCAGATGCTGGTCCGTTCTGGAACCCTTGCTGGGCCAGGACTTATTTATGGATCAGGGCTGGAGGGGGCCTGAAGGGCAGGTGTACCGTGTGGCTGGCCTCCTCTCGACCCCCATTCCTGGCTCCCATCTGTCTTCGCCCTGTCTTTTGGTCCCTTGGTCCTCACACTTGTCTTTCTTTCTCTGCGTGTCTCTGTCTTCACTCTCTGGTTGACTGTGTGTGGCTGCGGAAGGTGAGGCTCTGCCCTTCACCCGCTTGATGGTCTTGGATGAGCCATTTAGGCCCAGTTGCCGTTCTCCCACCTGGGAAATGGGGTCGATAGCACGTACCTTGCAGGGTGCCCTGGAAGATTAAGTTATAAATAATACAGTGAGGCTCCTGGCCCACAATAAATGGTAGCTGTTGGTGTGTTCTCTCTCTCTTTCTGTCCCTCCTCCCCCCACCCACTTTCCCTCTCCCCTCTCTCTTGGCCCCCTTCTTCTGCTGAGGAGTTGAAAACACTCTGCCCATTCCCCCACCCCGCCTTCGGTCCACCCCCATTTTCTTTCTGCTCTCTGTTTCTCTGCTTAAGTGAATCAGAACACAGAACTGGTTTGTTCTTTGTTAAATCTATCAAGTGCCTTTACGTTTCCCCGTTGTCAATTGTCAAAGCCTAGGAATGAAGCGTTTTCTGTCTTGCATCTGCGGTGAAGTGTTCCTCGGGCAACCCGCCTTCCTCCTGGGACGGCCCTGGGTGGAGAGACCTTTGGGCTCAGCCACAGCCTGTGAGGCCCTGCTCCTTCGCTGGCCCACTGTCCAGCAGGCAGGGGCCACCAGGGCAGAGAGGGGGTGTTGCGACGCAATTCTTCTCTTTCCTGCTCCTTTGAACTCCATTTATCTCAATTTGCTAAATTTAAACTCAGTGTTTCCAGAGTGGCTCTACTTGAGGGCTTGGCCAGCTAAATTAAGGTTTTTCCTCCTCTTTCCCATGGCCTTTTATGAAGCTACCCAGCATTAATTATCATGTTTGTCACTGGGTAATAAAAACCTCTGAACTCCCTGCCACCAGATTATCTTTGTAAAGAAATGCAACTCACTTACAGTTAATAACCAGAGGCCCCGCCGTCCCCGGCCTGCTAAGGCGAGGTGATTTATAGCACCCGCCGGATGAGCCCATGCACTTTTGTGCAGGACGAGTGCGCTCTAGACAGCCCGGATTTCCTCCGAGTCGCAGGCTGCGTCTGCCTTGCAGTCCCCGTTCCAGGTTCGGTGACTGCTGGCGAGATGCCCACTTCCTACCCGTACAGGCACCAGGCCCCTGAGGCCAGGCGGGTGTGCGAGGCCCTGCCCCAGGAGAGCCGGCGGCAGATGGAGTTAATGTTCTTGTCCTCTTTCCCCTCACAGACCACGTCTCGGTTGGAGGACTCGGGGACAGTTTTTATGAATATTTGATCAAATCCTGGTTGATGTCGGGCAAGACAGATATGGAGGCTAAAAATATGTACTACGAAGCCTTGGAGGTAAGACAAGCACTGGATTATTCACAGGCCGCTGGTCACCAGCCTCCGGCTCTCTCACAGGCCCCTGAGTGCTGGGGCTGCGGGGCCAGATGGGCTGAGGCTTGCTCCCACCCCCTGCAGTGAACTGGTGAGAAGATTGACAGGACAGCCCCCTCCCAGCCAGGCATTTTACACCCCTGCGACCCTCCCACATGCTCTAAGACGGAGGCTGTGTCAGATGCAAAACCCAAGCTCAGGGAGGTGAAGTCATGTGTCCGAGGTCTCCTCGGAAGTGACCGTCAGTCTGATTCAGAAACCGCCACCTGCTCGGTGTCTGTGCTTCGACTGATGTGTCAGAGTCCAGAATGCAGCCAGACTGGGGGCTGGCACCCCCAAGGGTGGCTGCCAGAGTGTGACCCTCAGCCGTGTCTTCCTTGGACAACAGAGGTGACAGGAGAAGTATGTCCAAGCTGGAAGAGGCCTCCTTCAGTGGAGCGTCCAGTTTTGCTCCTTCTCTTTATGTGGATGGAAACCAAGGCCTAGAGAGGGGAAGGCACTTGCCCAAGGCCGCACAGCACAGAGCTGGCCAAGCTGGCACCACTGGTGGTCTGTCCACGGGGTGTGGAATGAACGAGGGCTGGAAGGCTGAGGTGAGTCCCTCCAAAGAGGAGAGACCAGGACAGAAGAGGGAAGCAGTTAGCTTGAACCATTGGGAAGAGGGCTAGGGAATCCCACGACTCAACAGATACCTCGGAGCCCAACTAAGGAAAAGGCACTGGGCCGGCTCTGGGCCTCAGTTTCCCCTTAAAGCAAGTTGAGCAAGTTGGATCTACTCTGCCACCACCTTGGTCTACGCTACCTCCTTATTTCCTCTAAACCGGCTTCCCCTCTGCCCTGCTCTCTGAATGCTGTGTGGGGAACAGAAGCCAGAAGAGCTGGACGTGCACATCCCTCTCCTCTCTGGCCCCCCTTAGCAGCTGGAATAAATCCAACTCCTCTCCTTTACCCATCGGGTCCGCCTTCCCTGGGCCCTGCTGATCACCCTGACTTCACGCCTGCCTCTCTGCCCTGTGCTCTCTGGGCCCTGGCACCAGTCTTCCTGCTCTTCCTCAGACACCCCAGGCGACTCCCACCTCAGGGCCTTTGTACTTGCTGTCCCCTCCGCCTGGAATATCATTCCAATGGCTAGGTCCCACTCACTAGTCAACTGTCAATTCAGATGCCACTGAAACTACCATTCCCAGCCTGTCACATACCCAGGCTTATTCTCTTCACCTTCATCACCCTCTACAATTATCACAGGCATGTATTTGTTTACTTGCTCATTCTCTATCTTCCCCAAATAGAATGTCAGTTATCTGGGATCAGCGATCTTGTCTGCTCCTAAAACAGTGCGTGCTCCCTGCCCTCAGGGCACATAGCAGGCACATGGTAACTGTTTTGTGAACAAATGAATGAATGCATGCATGCATGAATGCTGAAAGGATGGATGGAGGGAAGGATAGATGGATGGAGGGAAGGATGGATGGATGGAGGGAAGGATGGATGGAGGGAAGGATGGATGGATGGTGGGAAGGATGGATAGATGGAGGGAAGGATGGATGGATGGAGGGGAGGATGGATGGAGGGAAGGATGGATGGATGGTGGGAAGGATGGATGGATGGTGGGAAGGATGGATGGAGGGAAGGATGGATGGATAGAGGGAAAGATGGATGGATGGAGGGAAGGATGGATGGAGGGAAGGATGGATGGATGGAGGGAAGGATAGATGGATGGAGGGAAGGATGGATGGATGGAGGGAAGGATGGATGGATGGAGGGAAGGATGGATGGAGGGAAGGATGGATGGGTGGAGGGAAGGATAGATGGATGGAGGGAAGGATGGATGGATGGAGGGAAGGATAGATGGATGGAGGGAAGGATGGATGGATGGTGGGAAGGATGGATGGATGGAGGGAAGGATGGATGGTGGGAAGGATGGGTGGATGGAGAGAAGGATGGATGGATGGAGGGAAGGATGGATGGTGGGAAGGATGGGTGGATGGAGAGAAGGATGGGTGGATGGAGGGAAGGATGGATGGATGGAGGGAAGGATGGATGGAGGGAAGGATGGATGGGTGGAGGGAAGGATGGATGGGTGGAGGGAAGGATGGATGGAGGGAAGGATGGATGGATGGAGGGGAGGATGGATGGAGGGAAGGATGGATGGATGGTGGGAAGGATGGATGGATGGTGGGAAGGATGGATGGATGGAGGGAAGGATGGATGGAGGGAAGGATGGATGGTGGGAAGGATGGGTGGATGGAGGGAAGGATGGATGGAGGGAAGGATGGAGGGATGGATGGATGGAGGGAAGGATGGATGGATGGAGGGAAAGATGGATGGATGGAGGGAAGGATGGATGGATGGAGGGAAGGATGGATGGAGAGAAAGATGGATGGATGGAGGGAAAGATGGATGGATGGAGGGAAGGATGGATGGAGGGAAGGATGGATGGGTGAGTAGATAGATGGGTGGGTGGGTGTGGGCAGTTGGATGGATGGATAGATGGTCTCTGACTACCCTCTGATCACAGGAATCTGGCCAGGAATGGTGGTGCTTAAAACACACACATTGAAACGGACTGCTAGAGCCCTGGACCCTTTAAACCGTAGGCTCAGCAATGAGTTTTCCCTGCCCAGCTCCCTGGCACAAGACCTCCGTCATGAAGCAGCTTCTGGGACTATAGTCCCATCTCAGTCTGAGTCCCAGCCTTGTTCACTCCGGTCTTTGGCTGAGCTCAGACCAGAGCCCCGGTCAGAGAATTAGTGTGCAGCTGGTGGTGGCCAGAGTGTGCTGCCCAGAGGCCCTTGATGCCTTCTCTTGCAGAGTAAACATAAAGTTAATGAGCAGCCAGGCTCCCTGCCCTCAGGGCACACTGTAGTTGAGGCTTCAAGGGAAGAAGTGGCCATGAATTATTTAAGGCAACTCGGAGCACTTGATTTTGTAGGAGAGAACTTTGAATAGAAGAGGCTTTACTCTCTGCATTTGATCTTCCCAGTGAAGAGCCTGGAGCGTCTTTGACCCTGGGTGAAGGCTGGGCCTCTGGCAAGTTTGGGGTTTTGAAGAATCTTCTGGTGCTTCTCAACCATGTTGGCATGTTAAAATCACCTAGGGAGCTGCAAAGTCCTGATGTTCAGACTGCACCCCTGACTCAGAACCTCTGGGCATGGGGCCCGGGCCGCACATGAACCTCCTTGGGATTTCCGTGTGTAGTCAGGGTTGGGAATCACTGACCAAAGACTTTCACCCCTGCCTGTACCTTAGGAACACCTGGAGAGCTTTAAAAATCCCATGTCTAGCCTCACCCCAGGCCAATTAAATCCCAATCTGAGCTTTTTAAAAAGTTCCTTCCACGGCCGGGCAATGTGGCTCACGCCTGTAATCCCAGCACTTTGGGAGGCCGAGGCGGGCGGATCACGAGGTCAGGAGATCGAGACCATCCTGGCTAACACGGCGAAACCCCGTCTCTACTAAAAATACAAAAAATTAGCCGGGCGTGGTGGTCGGCACCTGTAGTCCCAGCTAATCGGGAGGCTCAGGCAGGAGAATGGTGTGAACCCGGGAGGCGGAGCTTGCAGGGAGCCGAGATCTGACCACTGCACTCCAGCCTGGGCGACAGAGCGAGACTCCGTCTCAAAAAAAAAAAAAAAGAAAAAAAAGAAAAGTTCCTTTCACAATTCTGTTGTGCACCTGGGGTCAGAAAACCACCAGGTTAGACCAGTGTCCAGCTGGGGTGGGCCTGGGAAGGTCAGACAGTTCAGACTGGGCACACCTCTGAGTGTCACGGCAGGAGACAAGAAGAACAGGGAGAGCTTTGGTCACTTTGGCCTCCTCTGGGCCAGTGCTCTAAGTACCTCATCTTCTTTAGCCCCCATCTTACAGATGATGAAACTGAGGGTCAGAAAGGCCCAAGGTCCAGATAGCAGCAGGTGTCAGAGCGAGGACACAAATACGGGTCCAACTCCAGATCCAGTGGGCTGGCCTCTGCTTACCAGCGGCCAAGTCACAGAGGGGCCTGGCTTGCCTGAAACCCCTCCCACAAGTGCTCAGATGGGGCTCCTGCAGGCAGCAAAGGAAGGAACAGCCAGTGCCAGGCACTGAGCCAGGCTTCGAATATCCTGTTCTTTAATCCTCACAACCGATCCAGGAATCATTATTCCCATTTTATAGATGAGCAAAGTGAGTCTTCAGTAAAGTGAAATAACTTGCCCAAAGTCATCTAGCTCCTAAATCGCAGAGCTGAGATTCAAACCCAGGCCCCTCGCCACTCTAGGCTCACTGCCTATGGGTTAGCCCTGCTCTGCAAGGAACAGTACAAATATTTTTGTTAATACTTTAAAAAAATAAACCCTGGTCTTGCACCCCAGTTAGCTCCTTGCACCTCTGCTTGCTGTGATTTAAACCTTTTACCAGTCGTCTGCCAGCCTGCGCTGTCTTGTGTTTTGTTTTAAAAAGCCTTGTTTTTTATATTTGCATCTGCGTGTCTCAGTTGTGTCTTCAAAGAGGCACTGGTTTATAATTTCCTCTTGACCGCAATTACTTAGCTTGGGGCCAACCCGCAGTGGAAATAACCTGTGGGAGGCGGTCTGGAAGGTGCAGATGCCAGCTTTGGTGTGTGGCATCCTGAGGTCTCCCTCAGATGTCTGTGTTCTCTCCAAAGTGTTGACAACTGGTGACTCTGACCCAGGTTTCTGAGCCCTGACACTCCTCCCCTGCGCCACACACTTAGTGACGCCGAGCAGCTGCCGGGGACATGGCTCTGCCCGGGAGCCAGGCCGGGCCCAGAGCAGACCCCCGCCTGCAGCCCGGCTGCTCTGCAGGTGTCCTCAGCACTCCCCCATGTGGAGCAGGTGCCCTGGCATGTCACATTGTCAGCGCTTCTCCATCTGCCACTCAGTGTGGGTCCTGCAGCCAGCCCACCAGCCCTGGGCCCTGACAGGAGAAAAAAAAGAAAAAACAGACCCAGGAGTGAGCGAATGTTCCTTGAGCATCTCCTGTGTGTCGGTCACTGGCTGGAGGCTGCTGGTGGTGGCTTCTGCTGTCACACGGCACTCAGAGTCTGAGAGAGGGACAGATACACAACAGAAACATACGCCAAGTAGGAATGGCACCATGTAGAAGGGTGACGGGCCCATAGTAATGGCAGTGGCAGTGCTGGTTTAAATTGCAGCATTCTCTCCAAGGAAGTGACATTCTGGAGGAGTTAGCAGAGTCAGGGCTGGAGCATGCAGGGAGGAGGCACAGCACCAGCCAAGCCCTGAAGCAGGAAGAAAAATGCAGCCTTCAAGAATGTCACCTTTGCAGAGAGACTTTCCCAGACCTCACTCTGCAAAGTACAGCACTGCCCCCACCCCAGCTCTTTGTTTTTGTTTTTGTTTTTGTTTTTGTTTTTGAGACAGAGACTCACTCTGTTTCCCAGGATGGAGTGCAGTTAGTAGAGATGGGTTTTTGCCATGTTGTCCAGGCTGGTTTCAAACTACTGGGCTCAAGTGATTCATCTACCTCAGCCTCCCAAAGTGTTGGGATTACAGGCATGAGCCACTGTGTCCAGCCTCTCCCCATCTCCCCCTGCATTTTTTAATCTCATCCTCTCACTTTGTTTTATTCAAAATGCTGATCACAAATTGTACCTTTGGGCCAGGTGTGGTGACTCACACCTGTAATCCCAACACTTTGGGAGGCCTAGGTGGGTGGATCCCCTGAGGTCAGGAGTTCAAGACCAGCCTGGCCAACATAGTGAAACCCTGTCTTTACTAAAAATATAAAAAATTGCTGGGGCTGGTGGCACACGCCTATATAATCCCAGCTACTTGGGAGGCTGAGGCACGAGAATGGTTTGAACCTGGGAGGCGGAGGTTGCAGTGAGCCAAGATAGTGCCACTGCACTTCAGCCTGGGTGACAGAGTCTAAGACTGTGTTTCAAAACAAAACAAATTGCGCGTCTCGTGTACATTTGGTTTTGTTGGGAATTCCCTGCACTAATGGGCGAGCTCCCTGAGGCAGAGTCCAGGCTCCTCTCCAGCACACCTGTAGCCGCAGTACCTAGCACAGCACTGACACCAAGGAAATATTACATGGCTCCCGAAATATTGGAAGCCAGGAGGGTACATGAGTGAAAAGAGGCCAGTATGGGTGAGGTAGGGTGTGAGAAGGGAGGGGCAGGAGACAGACTAGAGAGGAATCATAGGGGCCAGTAATTATTGGGGACTCACTCTGTGCTGGGAAATAGGCCAAGCCCTGCAGGTGTATCTCATTTAATTCTCACAACCCTTTGAGGCAGTTAATGCTCTTATCCCCAGTTTACACGTTAGAAAACTGAGGCACAGAGAGAACATACAACCTGCCCAGTGTCACACAGCGTGGAACTGGTGGAGATGGGATTTGAACCTGACGAGTCTGTGCCCCAGAGCCATGTCCGTAGCATCAGGTCCACCCTCAGGGTCCAGATCGTGGAGTCTTGGCGGCCTCTCTGGTCTTTTCACATAAGGGCACTTGGAAACCACTGCAGGTTCTAAGCAGGCAGATGATATGATCCGGTGTGTTAACTGCAGAGTACGGAGAGCCCCTGGAGAGTAGATTGGAGGGGTGAGAGTGGAGGCAGAGGCCTGGCAAGGGCCCCAGAGGACCCCAGCCATGGGCCAGGCCCCATCAGCCCATGGAGTCTGGTCTCAAGGCTGTGTGAGCAGCTTCCTTCCTCCCCTGGGTCCCCAGGGCTCCTGGGACTGACAGCAGTGTGACCCCCTCATGTCCCCGACATCCCAGAGTCTTTACAACAGCATCACCTCCCTTCCCACCAAAAGGCATGGCCATGGGGTAGAGGAAGAAGCAGAGCTCTGGACAATGTGGGGTCTTGTTTCTAGGCTGGTGTGGCTGCATGGCCTGGGACAAGCTGCCCCCTCCCATTTGTGTAGGGCGCTACAGACCAGGTGCCTGGCTTGCTGTAGGCATTAAATGAGGAAACGTGTGACAAAATACCGTCGAGAGCAGCTCTTAATTTTCTGCAGGTTCTTTTTGAGAAACTGAGAAGAATAGAAGGACACTCTTCCCATAAAGATGCACATCCAGGCCGGGCGCGGTGGCTCAAGCCTGTAATCCCAGCACTTTGGGAGGCCGAGACGGGCGGATCACGAGGTCAGGAGATCGAGAGACGATCCCGGCTAACACAGTGAAACCCCGTCTCTACTAAAAAATACAAAAAAATAGCCGGGCGAGGTGGCGGGCGCCTGTTCCCAGCTACTCGGGAGGCTGAGGCAGGAGAATGGCGTAAACCCGGGAGGCGGAGCTTGCAGTGAGCTGAGATCCAGCCACTGCACTCCAGCCTGGGCGACAGAGCAAGACTCCGTCTCAAAAAAAAAAAAAAAAAAAAAAAGATGCACATCCACTAAAAAGTATTGGGTGCAGTTTTAAGGGCCTGGACCCCTGAAGCCTGTCCACAGGCCCGCTGGGTTTCTGGTTAAGATCAAACAGAGGACATAATGGAGGAGGAGGAGGATCACCTTAAAATATTTTTTAATGTTTTTTAAAACGTGGAAGATTTTTTAAAGACTGAGAGACTTGCCCTGGGGAGCTGCCGTGTGTCTGAGCCTCCCAGTGAATAGCAGCCCCTCCTGTGCCCTGGCAGGCATCTTGACCAGCAGAAATCAATGGGCCTCCTTTGCCTGGGATGGAGGGCTTGGCAGAGCTGCCCTTGCTACTGTCTCCAAAATGTTCATTTTCCATCCTTTCCCCCCCTTCTCTGTGCCCTCCCACGCCCCTTCTCCCTGCCCAATCCCCACCTTGCTCCCAGGCGATAGAGACCTACTTGCTGAATGTCTCTCCCGGGGGGCTGACCTACATCGCCGAGTGGCGAGGGGGGATTCTGGACCACAAGATGGGGCACCTGGCCTGTTTCTCCGGGGGCATGATCGCCCTTGGCGCCGAGGATGCCAAGGAAGAAAAGAGGGCCCACTACCGAGAGCTCGCAGCCCAGATCACCAAGACGTGCCACGAGTCATACGCCCGCTCAGGTAACCCTGCAAGGGGAAGGGGCAGCAGGAGAGACTGAGGCTAGACACCAGGAAGAAGTGGAAAGACCAGCAGCAGTGAGTGAAGGGAGCACATGGCCTTAGGGAAGCCTCCCATTGGAACTTAGGTAGAATTTGAGAGATGTGCTGTCCAGGCTCTGAGACTGTACCCTGAATGAACGGGAAACTAGTACAGACGCAGAAAGCGCTTTGCGTGTACCTGGTGCTCTTCCGCCCTTGACACACATCATCACTGAACCTCACCACACGGATGAGGAAACTGAGGCTCAGAAATTACTTGGCCAAGGTCCCTTGAGAGGGGCATGGAGTAAAGGATCCTCCAGCTCTGGAGGCAGAAACGGCAGCTTCCTGAGCCCAGCACATGTCCCACCCTGAGTCCCATGCCTTCGAATGTGCTTCTGCCTTTCCCCCGGCACCCTCCTCAGAGGGGGTCTCACTGCCTCCTGCTCCCCCCTGTTTAGTCGCCCTCTTTGACCCGTGACCACCAGAAACCCTGAGAGCTTGGTCCTCCCCACCCACCGCTCACCACTGAATTGTCAGATGCTAGAGTCAGAGGTCACATTTGAGAGCCTAAGCCTGGCTCCTCATTCTACACAGAGAAGCGGAGCCAGCCCAGAGGGGGAAGTGACTTAGCCAAAGTCACACTACAGATAAGGAATTGATCCTGGGCTGGAACCCAGGCCTTTTGATGCCTGCACCCCTCCGAAAAATCCCCAGCCCCTATGTGGTCCCAGGAGACTCCCGCTGCTCCCAGTGGTAATCCCAGTGTTGGCTGGAGGGGACGAGCCAAGATTTGCAGTAAAAATCCCAGGCTCAAGCGCCACTCTGCCACTGCCAGCTGGGCAGCCTCTGTTTTCTTATCTGTTTGATGGAAATAATGACACAGGTTTCAGAGTGAGGCACAGGGTCCCATGAGAAAGTACTTTGGCAGCCGCCTTCTGCCAGCAGCACTGCAGCCACTTGCTGGCGGTCCACCGTGATGTGTCTGTGCCCGCCCCAGCTGAATGGGGTCTCCTGGAGCTGTTTCCAGGAAGTCAGAGATTCGCAATGGGTCTTTAAAACTGGTCGTCCATTCTCTTCAAAGAGCTCACTCTGCCAGGGCCATAAACAAATAACAAATCTCAGGAATAATAAAAAGCTCACTATTTGTCTGAGACAATCAGCCCAGACCATAAAAGACAGCCGCTTAATAGAGCATATTGTTCCAGCCGGCCTCGGCTTGTCCCGTGGACGCCTGCAGCAGCGGCTCCTGCCTTCACCCCACTAGCGACTTGGCAAAACGACTGTTTTCTGATGGCCAGGAGCTGCTACGCCGTTTGAAAAGATTCGAGAGGCTAGGGTCTAGCTAATTCCTCTTCCCCGAAGCCCTCCGTGGAAGAGTGGAAGTCCTGCAAACCTCTAGCCCCTGCCTCTAGAGTCAAAGCAACCCAGGGCCTCTCAAGGTTTTGAACCCTGGTGGGAGGGAAGAGGGCTCACATTAGGAATGGAGCTGGGGACTCGGGTGACCTGGACAGGAGGGACAGGCATTAAAGGTTGAAGGATCTGGCCCTCATACCCTACATGTTGGGCCTCTGAGGATTAGACCCAGGAGGGAAAGAGCACCACCCTAGGAGAGGCATCAGACACATCCAGGGTCAAGTCCCAGCTCAGCCACAACTCGCTGTGTTACCTTGGGCAAATTACTTAGCCTCTCTGATCCTCAGTTTCCGCCTGCGTGAGAGGGATAGTAGCAATTACCTTACTAAAGAACCATGTTTTAAGAATTGAAATAGTGTATTAAAGCACCCAGCACAGCCTTTGAAATCATACGCGGTGACTGCAGCGGTGGTTACAATTATGGCCATACAACAAGAATGACAGCACATTGCCCCAAAACAAAACAGTGACAATAACAGAACCCAGGCTTCCTCGGGCTTTCCTTCCTCAGCTCCCTTTGTGAAAGTAGGTGCATTCCTGGGCAATCTTCCCTCCATTTCCACCTCAGCTGTTCCCAAACTCTAGAAGTTCTGGGAGGTGTTAAAAGCAGTTTTCTAAGAGAAAGGGTCCCGTGGAGAAGCCTCATTGCATATTAGCATATTAAAGGATCTGATAAATCCTGCAGATGGGAGACTCACTTTGTTTAACCCTCGGTTCCCCAGATGTGTTGAAACCCGAAACCCTCTTGGCTGAGGTCTGGCTAACCTCTTGCAGAGCTATTGCCTCATAGTACACAGTCAGTGGAACCCCGCCCAAACCTTCACCTACCCAGACTGCTGAGTAGCTCATCTGGACTCTGAGTCCAAAGCTGCTCACATTTCGAGTCCCCGAGGATCTTGTTTTGTCCAGCCCAGTTCAAGAGGGAAGCTGGGCATCTGCCCGGTGCAGCCTTAGCCAGCAGTCCAGGCAGGGGCGCCCCACACCCACACACCCCTGACATCACCCTGGCCGTGGCTCGAGGCAACTGACATCTCTCCTGGATCCCGAAAAGCAGGAGGTGGGAGGACTGACCTGGGCCCTCTGCTTGGCTGTTTCCCCAGACACCAAACTCGGGCCCGAGGCCTTCTGGTTTAACTCCGGCAGAGAGGCCGTAGCCACCCAGCTGAGCGAGAGCTACTACATCCTCCGGCCAGAGGTGGTGGAGAGCTACATGTACCTGTGGCGACAGACCCACAACCCCATCTACAGGGAGTGGGGCTGGGAGGTGGTGCTGGTGAGTGGGCCCCAGGGATGGGCAGCCAGGTGCCAGATGCCCCCTGAGAATTCACAGACAGGCTGGGTGCTGTGTCCTGGCTTGGGCACGGAGTGGAAGTCCAAGCCACACTGACCTCTGGCCACAGTTCAGAGTGCAAAGGGTCAAGGTGAGGGTTACAGAGCCAAGAGTTCCCAGCTGGGCAAAGTTGTCCTGAGACACGACAGGGCAGACTTGTGAAGAGGGTTCTGAGTGCCCATGGCCTTGGGGCCTGGGATCAGGCCTCAGTAAACTTAGAGGGTCAGAGGCTAGGCAGCTGCCTAGAGCACCACGCGGGCACCACTGTCCCAACAGACGCTTTCTTGATCCCGAAGCTGGGCAGCTCACCTCCGCCTCCCTCCTCTTCCCACAGGCAGCCCAGCCCCAGGGAGCCCCCACCCTAGTCTCTACTGGCCCTCGAGGCCTACCCTGCCCTCAGCACCCAGCCCCACACCTAGGTGGAAATTTAATGGCTGTCTTGGGGGAGGTGTCAAAGGCAGGTGTGGGGATTCCAGAAGGTTCCCTGGTGGATGCTGAGCCTTCTCTGCCCCTATCTCCCCAACCCCCATGCCCACTCCGAGCATTGCACTCAGACGGGGTCTGGGGCATGCTCAGGTTCACTGGCCCTGTTAAGTCCACCTGCTTCCCCAGGACCATTGCTCTTGGCCCTCAAGCATCTTGTGCTCCTATGTCCAGTCCACAGACCCCTCAGTGGGTAGAAATTGTATTTATCAGCCTATAGGCAACATGGCAAAACCCCATCTATACAAAAAAATACAAAAATTAGCCAGGCATGGTGATGCACGCCTATAGTCTCAGCTACTTGAGGGGCTGAGGCAAGAGGGCTGTTCGAACCCCAGAGGCTGAAGCTGCAGAGTGAGCTATGATCGCCCCACTGCCCTCCAGCCTGGGTGACAAAATGAGACCTTGTCTCAAAAAAAAAAAAAAAAAGCATTTATATAGAAAGATGAATGGCTTGGCCCACTCGCCTCCAGCCCAGGGGCCGTCTCTCCTAAGAATCCCTGGGGTGCCAAGTCCATCCCCAAATCCCAGCCCATGGCCATCACTTCTGCTTACCACTGTGGGTGAATCTGTGAGACCAGCCTAGTCCCCTGAAACACGAAGAGAAGCTTCCTCTAAGTCCAAACCAGGTGGAGAGCTCAGGACAGGCAGCCCATCGGGCCGGAGCTCTCAGAGGTGTGGGGGGAGGGAGTGTGGCCCCTCCAGCCTGGGGACAGGTGGCTAAACCCTGAAAGAATAATTTGATCTTCTATTCCCACAAATGCCAGGAGTCCCCAGCCAAGGGGTTGGGGTGCTGTCTGCTTTCTAGCTCCAGCCTGCCAGGCATGCACAAGTCTTGAGGGGCCTTTCCTGTCCCGTGTTAAGGCTGTTTTCCTCCTCCTCTTCCCCTTCCTCAGGCCTTGGAGAAATACTGTCGGACAGAAGCCGGTTTCTCCGGGATCCAAGACGTGTACAGTAGCACCCCCAGCCACGACAACAAGCAGCAGAGCTTCTTTCTCGCGGAGACACTAAAGTGAGCAGCGTGGGCTTTTCCTAGGGATGGACAGGTGGGCGGTTAGGGGCGGGGGTCTGCAGTCCCTCCCTTCCACAGTCATGTTCTGTGGCCACAGGACGGGAGCCCAAGAGGGGTGAAGGGCTTGGGATCCAGAGGGCTGCACCCCAGGGGTGAGCCTTGGGCCAGGCCGTTTTCTTGGAGAGTGAGACTAGGCTAGAATCCAAGTTCCCTAGGGATGCACCGTGTGATACCGCAGGTTCCTTCAGTTGCCCACCTATCTCCGCAGGTTCCTTCAGTTTCTCACCTATCTCCGCAGGTTCCTTCAGTTTCTCACCTATCTCCGCAGCTTGCTTCCATTCTGGGAACTCGAGTGTAAAATGGGATAGGATTAACGATGATGATGTCGGTGCTGGTTGCTGGCATTAACTTTCCCTCCTGTGGCCTCTGCAGTATGGGTGCTGTGCCCCCCTCAATTTCTTGCCGTGGAAGTTGGCCACCCCACTTCCTCGCTGTTCCCCAAAGCAAGCCCCTTGAGCTTTAACCGATTAGGGTGGGTCAGAATGATCCGTTCCTTCCAGCGGGGAAAAAACCCACAACCTGGAAGCTGCAGTTCTAGAGTCACAACCCCCTGTTCGTCTTAGTGCCCTAATGTGTGCTCTGAATGTAGAGTCTGCGGGCAGCAGTGGGGCACGTGAAGCCGACTGGACTGGAGCAGCCCTCAGGCACCCCTGCAGAGGAGATCTGGGCCATAAGGGCTCACATACAGGGCCGGGCAGGTGAAGCCGGCTGATGGCAGATGGCAGAGCCAGGGTAAACTAAGTCCTTCTGACCCCAAAGCTCAAGGCTTTTCTCTGCATCCACAGCCTCCTTCCCCAGGACTAGCACCCCCACCCTGCCGCCCACAGTTTTGAGGTTTCAGGCTTCCTGACCTTGGTCACAGGCCCATCACAAAGGCCCTGAGACTTGTTCCCGGGCCCACCCTTCTTCCCCAGGCCACTGACAGACTGTGTCTTGCTTCCCTGCCCTGCCTGGGGCACAGGTATCTCTATCTTCTGTTCTCTGAAGATGACTTGCTCTCCCTGGAAGACTGGGTGTTCAACACCGAGGCCCACCCGCTCCCGGTGAACCACTCAGACAGCTCCGGCAGGGCCTGGGGCAGACACTGACCTCATCCCCCGCCGCCGCCCTGGGGCCACCGCAGGGATGCCTTGCCTTTTCAGGATTTGGGACTGTTTTCAAAGGGACTGGGAACGAAGGCCCCATCTCGGGCAGACCCCCAGCAGATGTGTCAGACAAGCAACTTCTTTTCCTCTGTGAGGAGACAAGACTTGGAGACGCAGCAATGTAAGGCCAGGGCCATGGCCACACTGGCCCACACATTCCTTTCTACAGAGAATTTCTATGAAGCCCTCTCACTTGCCATTCCAGGGCCAAAGGACCGGAGGTTTGCAATCTGCCCCATGTATTTGATTTGCTTCCTTTTGGTTTCTCGGTTTTTGTTTTTGCTTGATTTTGTCTTTTCTCTATGGTTTAGTTTTATCACAATTATACATACAGTTTTCAGAATTATGCGCTTTCTAAAATGATGTCATCCTGATAAACAAAACCCAGTGTTTGCACACATACAAAATCTTGACCCCGTTATCTATATTTTAAATGCTTTTTGCCCAACACTGACCCTGCATTCAACTATGTGTCATTTACCTTATAATTTGAGGAGGGGTTTCCCTTTGATTGGGCCTCAGTGTTACAAATCACTAGTGCTCTTTTCATTATTATTGTAATGGAAAAATCTGTGAACTAGAATAAAAGAGTTTATTGAATAAGAAATATGATTGGGCTCATTGCACATCAGTGACTCCTAGAAAAACCATTGCAATGTTACCATCAGAAAGAATAATCAGCCAGCAGTTGATTTTAGGTATAATTTAGTAAATGATTCCAACTTCTATTACCTCCCCTGAAATCGGTCCTGATATATTCAAGAAGTGTGGGGCCAGCCCTTCAGATGCAGTTGTTTATTTACACTCAGGTTGAGATTGGGAAGAGGCCCAGGGAGGAGCAGCAACTTGCCTGAGGTCACACAGCCCAAAAAAGGCAGAGGAGAGTCTCACCCCTGCCGTCTCCTGGCCACCCCAGTTGAGTGTCTGTCTGTTCCATCATTCAGCAGATGCTTGGTGAGTGCCTGCAACGGACCAGACACTGGGCTAGAGGCCAGGGACACCGCTGGGAGTGAGACAGTCATAAGCCCTGCAGTCTAGGGGTCAAGAGGGGAGACGGCGATGGTAAGGGAAACTGACAAGCAAGTGAAGTAACTGCAGGTCATAGGAAATGCTACAAAGGAGACAGATGGACAGCTGAGGACCTACCCTATGGGGTCAGGGAGGGCCTCTCTGGGCAGGTGACCTTCAAGCCAAGACCCAGAAGATACAAAGGAACGCAGAAGGACTATCTGGCAGAAGAATGAACCTCCCATAACCCAGCCCCCTTTCCTACCCCGCCCCCCCATGCCCTCCCTGGGAGGGGGCCTGAAACACTGTGGCCGTTGTGCAGAGCAAGGAGTTCAGGTCCTAACACTGAAGTGACAGCGCTTCTTCCCCTGACACTTTTTTTTGTTTGTTTGTTTTGAGACCCAGAGTCTCTTTTTTTTTTTTTTTTTTTTTTTTTGAGATGGAGTCTCGCTCTGTTGCCCGGGCTGGAGTGCAGTGGCCGGATCTCAGCTCACTGCAAGCTCCGCCTCCCGGGTTCACGCCATTCTCCTGCCTCAGCCTCCCCAGTAGCTGGGACTACAGGTGCCCGCCACCTCGCCCGGCTAATTTTTTGTATTTTTTAGTAGAGATGGGGTTTCACCGTGTTTGCCAGGATGGTCTCGATCTCCTGACCTTGTGATCCGCCCGTCTCGGCCTCCCAAAGTGCTGGGATTACAGGCTTGAGCCACCGCACCCGGCCCAGAGTCTCATTCTGTTGCCCAGGCTGGAGTGCAGTGGTGCGATCTTGGCTCACTGCCACCTCCACCTCCTGGGTTCAAGCAATTCTCCTGCCTCAGCTTCCCCAGTAGCAGGAATTACAGGTATGCGTCACCACACCCGGCTAATTTTTTGTATTTAGTAGAGACGAGGTTTTGCCATGTTGCCCAGGCTGGTCTTGAACCCCTGAGCTCAGGTGATCCGCCCACCTCAGCCTCCCAAAGTGCTGGGATTACAGGCATGAGCCACCACACCCAGCCCTTTCCTGGCACATTTGCAGCTTGTCAACACAGTGGAAGTCACGGGAGAATTTTGAGCCCTTCCCTGGGCTCAGCTGCTTACCCTGTTCATAAGCTTTAGTAGCTCCTGCCTGGGGCCCTGAGCCAGGTGACCTGGCTTTAAATCCCTGCTGTGTGAACTTAGGCAGGTACCTCCTCTCTCTGGGCTCTTTTCCATCAAGCAGACAGAAAACCTCAACCCCACAAGGATGCTGTGAGAAGTGGGAAGCTGCTGGTACCCGGGGCTCAGGAAGTGCTTGTTCCTGGTTCTGAAGACTCAGGACATTCCCAGAATCTCCTTAAGCAGAGCCGCTGGGGAGTAGCCCCTGTGGCAAGTCACCATGCTCTTGACAGGCAGCATGAGAGCGTGACTCCCATGACCCACCTGTGCTCACTAAAAAAAAAAAAGCAAACCAGGAAAACTGACTACACAAACATTGTAGAAAGATTAGAAAATAGAAGCAGAAAGAAGACGCATTGGCCATCCCACTCTCTGGGGTGAATACTGTTATATTTTCTTCTAGGCCTTTTTCTATGAATATATAGAATATCTATTTTGCCAACGTGGTATCCTACTATGCACACTGTTTTCTTATAATCTGCTTTTGCACTTAACTATATATTGTGAACCTCTTTCCATGTCAACAAATACACGTTTATCTCATCGCTGTGCGTGCTTGTGGAGTATTCCATTGTGTACTGTAGCCTACTTTGCTGATCTAAGCCCCTGTTGCCAGGCATTTGGGTTTGTGTCCATCTGGGATTTTAGTTACAAATCACAGAAATCAATTCTGTCAACTTAAGCACAGAAAGGGATTTACTGAAATGTCATGGGGTGGCTTATGGAATCTTAGGAAGGAGTAAACAGTCGAACCTCAATAAGGGCTAGAAAGGACTTGGCCAGGGACGCTTCAAGAACCAGGGAAGCCTCTCTAGGCACCGCCATCAGAAGGGCTGAATCCAAATGTTTCCAGATCCTACTGTGGCTCCTTTCCAAGGGGCCTGGCCTGGGTCTCATCCCCGCCCCTAGCCAAGGGCAGGGCCAGGCATCTTGACTTGGCAGACCCCCTGAGATTACCCTGTGCAATGGGTGACGGGCTGTTCCCTAGAGAAAAACATGAGATTCATCACCAAAATAAGGGGCCTGCAGGCTGCACAGGCAAAAACAGCAGGACTGTTTACAGTTTGCTTTGATTTCTTCAGTATTATACAGAGAGTTATGAAGCGCATACTTAACCATCCTCCTTTTCACTTTTGTCCAATTATGTCCTCAGAATAACTTCTAGAATGTCTCTGTCTCAAAGCCACTTTGCAGTTCCCCAAGCCCCAGGCTCCCCCGCCAGGCCCGTGCGGCTGTCTCCCTCTCCTCTCCTGTCCTCTGCTGTATTGCTGGGAGGAAATGGTAAAAATGAATACTTTAAAATGTATCCTCCAGGAGGGCCCTTGCAGGTGGAGAAATATCATCCTTTTGGCAACTTAACTCCATTCCATGGATAAAAATAAGTACGACTCAAGATAGGCCGAGAGGAAAGAGGAATTAAGGGATGACTCATCCTCACTGAAGGTAGGAGAGAGCTTCACAAGCCACCGAATCTGAACACCCAAACCTCTCCCTGAAGAGCCCTCTCCTTCCCCAGCTGGGGGTCAGTGCGCAGCTGCCAGGCTCATTTTAAGCCTTGTCTGAGCCCTTGCTGAGGATGGAAGTACCGATTGCACCTGCTTCCCTCATAGAAGGGCGTGATGTCGGCTCCTTCCCAGAAACCCAGCTCCTGGCACTGAGGTCTGCAGAGCCTCACGGCCCCGGGAAGGGGGAAGTGGGGGGCACAGTCCTTTTCTACGTGCCTCCCTTTAAATGACTGGCCATTTGGTCAGACCGGCCAAAGGCGTTGGGAAGAAAAGCAAAAATGGAAAATCTGATTTAAAGGCAGCATCCAAGATGTGATTCTCAGTTCCATTCCCTCTGCTTTGAGGAGGTGACCCCACTGTGGTTTGAGAAAGTGCCAGAGATGAATGGGCCAGCTTCCCCCAGCGTTTCCCCTGGGGGCCTGTCCTTGCAAGTATGGTCATTGGTCATGTGGCACAAAGATGCTCGGCCCTCTGTGACTAATGCTTAATTACACCCTACTGGAGGAGGGGGTGCTGATTCTATTTTTCGTATCTGAAAATATCAGTTTGGTTTCCTATATTTGGAGCACTATTTTGTTCCTGCTCAGCCTGTCTGTTAAGTCGGAGCTTCTCAAACTTGAACATGCACAGGAATCACCTGGGAGCTTGTTAAAATCCAGGTTCATGTTCAGCGGCTGTAGCATGGAGCCTGAGATTCTGCCTTTTTTTTTTTTTTTTTTTTCCTGAGACAGGGTCTTATTCTGTCACCCAGGCTGGAGTGCAGTGGGGCCATCACAGCTCACTGCAACCTCCATCTCTGGGGCTCGAGCAGTCCTTCCACCTGGCCTCCCGAATAGCTGAAACTACAGGTGTGTGCCGCCACATCCAGCTAATTTTTTCTCTTGCTGTGTTTCTCAAGTTGGTCTCAGACTCCTGGGCTCAAGCAATTCTTCCGCCTTAGCCTCCCAAAGTGCTAGGATGGCAGGCATGAGCCACTGTGCCCGGCCAGATTCTGCTTTTCTTTAACAAGCTCCCGGGAGATGCTGATGCTGCCAGTCCTTGGACCCCACTTTGAGTAGCAAGACCCCAGTTGGTGGCCACTGCCTTGGTTTCTGCCTTTTCTTTGCATTCCTGGAGCTGTAACTGCTCCAGAGTGGCGTAGAGGGGCTCCGGTGTTGGGATGGCATCTATAGATACTTTGAATGCAGCGCAACCTACCTTAAAACAGGTGTGCCTACCGCCTGTGTCAACAGCTCTCCTTTCTTCAGGACAGCCAGAATAAGACAGGAGCAGGGCCGGGCGCGGTGGCTCAAGCCTGTAATCCCAGCACTTTGGGAGGCCGAGACGGGCGGATCACGAGGTCAGGAGATCGAGACCATCCTGGCTAACACGGTGAAACCCCATCTCTACTAAAAAATACAAAAAACTAGCCGGGCGCAGTGGCGGGCGCCTGTAGTCCCAACTACTCGGGAGGCTGAGGCAGGAGAATGGCGTGAACCGGGGAGGCGGAGCTTGCAGTGAGCTGAGATCCGGCCACTGCACTCCAGCCTGGGCGGCAGAGCGAGACTCCGTCTCAAAAAAAAAAAAAAAAAGACAGGAGCAGGCTGCTGGTGGCTTAGAACAGTGGCGTCCAGTAGGGTCACCCCATGTGGATCTGGAATACTTAAAATGTGGCGAGTGCAATGGAGGAACTAAACTTTTAATTTCATTTCCTTTTTTTTTTTTTTAATTGAGCAGAGTCTTGCTCTGTCGCCAGGCTGGAGTGCAGTGCTGCAATCTCGGCTTACTGCAACTTCTGCCTCCTGGGTTCAACCGATTCTCCTGCCTCAGCCTCCCGAGTAGCTGGGACTATAGGCATGCACCACCACGCCCAGCTAAATTTTTTTTTTTTTTTTTTTTTTTGAGACAAAGTCTTGCTCTGTTGCCCAGGCTGGAGTGCAGTGGCTTGATCTCGGCTCACTGCAACCTCTGGCACCCGGGTGCCAGAGGAGCTGGTGTTTTGGACAGTGCAGAATTAGAACTCAGAAAGCAACTACCCTGCTGATGCCGCAAAGACCTCCATCACCTGCACCACTACATAAATCATCTTAGCAGAAAATATATTGTTTAGGGACTCAAGGATTCCCTTGAACATACCTGGTTATTTTTATACTCATTCCAGCCTCTGTTTTCTGCACAAGCCTCTGGGTTGGGTTTGGTTTTGTGTTTTCTTACTCACGGTCTGCAGCAGGGAATGCAGTGGGTAGGCTGAAGGCAAGAGAGGCACAGGGGCGCGACAGGAGAGAACAACCCGTGTCGGTTTCATACAAGCACAGCCTTTGAAACTGGTGGACCTGTGTTCGGCTCTGCCCTGCCGTTTTCCAGGGCTGTATGGCCTTGGGCAAGCCCCTTCGTTAAGCTCCTCTGAGCCTCTGCTTCTCCAGCCATGGAAAAGGAAAGTGGTTTCAAGGGTTAATCGAGCCTCCCCACCCCACCCCCTGTAAGAACTCAATGCATCCTAGCAGTGATTGTTATGATGTGAACCTCTTTGTAAACTATAAAACCTTGTGTAAATTTGAGGCAAAACACTGCTGTCAAAAATTCTTCTTTTTAAACAAAATGCTCTGAGACTTGCAGGAAACTGTATCAACCAGGCCCAGGAGACAGACCAAAATCTCAAAGCAATAAATCTGAACGTTTTCTGCTTTTCCCATTGAGCAAGCGTTTTGCCATTAGCCCTGAATCTACAGAAATCAGGAAACCGGGATGAAGATTTGTTGACTGTCCAAGGTCTTCCAGGGATCTGTCTGGTGGGGGGGATGCTCGGGCGGGGGCCCAGGGTTGAGGAAGATGCCGAGAGCGTGCCCAGGAATGTTTGAGGTCCAGTTAGTTTTTCCTCTTCATGGAGTACCTGATAAATCCTGTCTACAAAACTTTGGAAGGTGGGCAGGAAAAGATGGCACCCCCATTTATAGAGGAGGGAACTGAGGCCCTAACAGGCTTGCCCAGGTCAAACAGCTGTTCCCGGTCTCTGGGCAGCCTCCACAGAGGCCACTCTGCACTCCCTACTGTTCCCCATACCCTTCCTCCACCCCACCCTTGTGTATGACCCCCAAGGCTAGGATGACCATCCCACTCATGACATTTGCTTATGACCGATTTTAACCTGTTGTTCCAACATCATAAGAGTACCCCATTTGCTCTTAAAAGTGCCCCAACTTGGACAGTAAATTTTATGGCCCCCTGGTCTAAGTGAAAACAACGATAACTAAGGTGTTTTTCCCAGAAGCCTTCGGTGCTCTGAGAAATGGTAAAACTCAGCCCGGAAAAACATGCAAATATCCCAGAGATTCTTTCCTTTAGAAACCAAGCTGGAAACTCGCCATTTTCTCACACACCTCCATGTCTCCTTGCATGCTGCTTCCTGCCTGGACTCCACCCCCAAGGTATGCCTACTAAACTCCTCTCCAGTCCTCCTGGCTGCCCTCAATGCCACCTCCTCCAGGAAGCCTTCCCTGACTTCTCCCTGCCCCTCCTTTGACCTAGGCGTTAAAAACTCCTTTGACCTGGGCTCCTACACACCTAGGGCAGACCCAGATATGCATGAGCCTCTCCACCGTAGACTGACCGCTCCCCAGTCACAGGACTTTTGTCTTCTCACCTTTGTGTCCTCAGCATGTTATAGATGAAAATAAAGGTCTGTGCTGAAGACTTGGGGATTAACCATGCACCCAGCCTCCCTCCCAGCTGCAGCTGGCTGAGAGTGGACCCACTGAACCAGGCGGGAAAAACAATGAGCGGTTTCACTGCAGGGGTTCTATGGGTCATCCTGGTCTGGTCCATGGACTGACTGTAGATTCCAGAAAGCAAGGTGGGAAGGGAGGAGAGTTCTTTCCATTAACAGGAAGGTCCCAGAAAGATGGGGTACAAGATGGTTGGTCAAGTGGCCTTTTCTCAGTGCAGTGACCCCCTTTCCACTGGTGATTGCAATGAGATTGTCAGGAATTGCCCAGTTTTCCAATCACAAGTCCCACACCATCCTACAGAGTGTGTGGAAATGGGCCAAGCCCATTTATCCAGTG